TTTGGGGAGCCGATATCAGACATAGGAAAACTCCAGATAAGAAAAAATTAGACTTTTCAGATCCATAGACACATCCTTGAATTGCCTCTATTGAGAGAAGCTCCACATGTCAGTGATGCGGCTCTTTTGTGCCACGTCAGGAAGATTACATGAAATTATTTAGATGTTAGATTCAGTTCAATATGAGACTCATCATCAGATGTCCACATAGGAGGGGTGAACCCCATCCTAGAAATTTGTCTTTGGAGTTTTTTTGGGAAGAAATTCTTCAATGGAATCCAGATCTGATCAGTGAAAAAGAGTTATCTTCTTAGTGGCTTGCTGTAGATTTCACGCAAGAGTTGACTTCTCACATATTAGTTTATCAGGTACATTCCGCCTGGTACGAGAAGTGGAAGAAGAAAGTTTCTGACTTAAGGGCTCAAGAGACATTACTGGAACACACACACACACACACACACAGATATATATATATAATATATATATATATATATATACATACCTAGAGAAGATGCATATATCTCTTCTACCATCAACGCGGTTGACTTGACTCCGTGCTATAAAGAACCAGAAGTATCAATGAATGAAGTTGAAACTCCCCCAACCCTGAGAGATTGACACAGGAGCTTGGGTCGCAGTACTGTAACAGGTACAATACCGCGGACCTTTTTCCCTATTTGATCCTTTACATTCTCTATTCCCTTCCTAATTATATTTCCTTCCTATTATAATTCCTTCATGTTCTAACTAATAGTACTTTTTATAAATATGTTGTTTGTTGTCTTAGGGTTTAGTTTTTTATGAATTTTATTTCAGATTTCTGCAGGACACCCATCGACGCCTGTTTTCCCCTTCGAGGGCTGTATTTGAGGAATTGGGCGGTGTTCTGGCTATATCTCTCTTCCAAGATGGTAATTATCTTCCTCCTATCTCCTTCCACATACTCCCCCGCCGCTCCCGGTCGCTGTGTATCGCTGCAGCCGGTCACAACAACCTTTTGTTAGCTGTTTTCTGCTGCCTCAGTTTTTTAGTCGCCTTTCACTTCCTTCAAGCTTTGGTGTAGCCCAATCTGCATCTCTTTCTTGCTGTCCCAGCCTTCCCACTGTGCCACTGCCGCTCAGGACAGCCAGGGAACGCCTCCCTCCTACTGTCCCATCGTTATCCACTCCCACTCGTCGTTACCTTCACCCAGGACAACCTCCATACTTGTTGTCCCTGTATTTCTGCATTTCTTCCTCGCTGCCACCAACATTCCTTTACTGCTGCCGCTTTTGCCAACCATCGCGATCTACATAGCCGGCTTCAACGACCCTGGAATACGGTTTTAGAAGTGTTTGCTTGTGTCGTTTTATGTTTGTTATCACTTATTTTTTTATTTGAAGAGTTGTCATCATCACCCTATTTGAATTCAACAATAATATTTTTATTTCTATTTTGGTTTGTGCTCATTTCGGCATCATTTATATAGTTTGGCATAGCTTTATAATTGTTTGATAGGTGTTAGATTCTAGAGTTTGTAAGGTTTATGGGCTGTTGTTAATGAAGCTTTTAAGGTTTATTGCTGTTGAAGCTTTTTGGGCTTCTTTTATTTTTATAAGTTGAACTTCATTTTTATCTATATTGCCACTACCACCATTACTGTTTATAGACACGTTGCCACTACCATTACTTTAATGAAGAGATTATTGTTATTGAGGGCTTGCAGTATGTTTGTTTGGGTCTTTTCTAGGATTTCTAGAGCCTTTGTGTTTTAGTCTTGGTCTTTACACTTAGATTTTGGATAAATTGGAGCCAAATTTTGCTGATTTTGTGCAAACCTTACACTAAATCGGGGTTGAGGACTTTATAAATAGTTGCATGACGCATGTAAACTAGACAAGTTTATTCAATAAAATTTCATATTTCTAGTTCTGGTTTTGTGTATGTTTGCTGGATGTGATACTTCTTCAAGTGCAATGCGAATGCAATGTTCAACTTCCGGGGAAAAATATCTTGTCTTACGAATTTTTTATTCATTTTAACAGCTTCTTTCCTTCGTCTATTTCCTCTTAATTATTTATATGTTGGTATTTCAAGTTTCTTGATTATGATTATATTTATTACAACTACGATTTCAATTTTTATCTAAATAATTAATTTCTTTTTTATTTTTCATTGTTTGAATTTCATATTGATTTCTTTGGATTTAATCACTCGTTGCATTAATTTTTTGATTTTTTTTTTTTCATATTTTGAACTTAAGAAGTTGGATTTTTTGTGTAATTAGTGATCTTTCATTTATGAATCCTTATTTATGTTGTCTTTTATGTTCATTTTATTAACTTAACTGTATTAGGAGTCCTTGAACCTTCAAAATCCCGCATTGGTGGGTACATCTTATGAAAAAAAGCAGTGGGGCAGCATTTGGGATAAACTGGGATGACGTAAGCTTGTAGTATGAAAGGAAGGTGAATTATATTTCATGGAACAAAAATATATTTCTCGAAGGAAGGTGAATTATATATGCTCGATTTTTATTCCAGACCTTATGCAATGGAACAGCCCATTCATTACCATGTGCAATGGAACAACCCATGTTATTACATAATAAAAGCGTATTTTCATACTTTTTGTGCTGCTAGACCTAATACAACAACAACAACAACAACAAAGCCTTAATCCCACTACGTGGGGTTGACTACATGAATCCTTTTTCTCCATTGCGTCCTATTTTCATATAGTTCTAGTAAATTAAGATCATTTTTTATACAATAAGCCCAAGTCTTCCTAGGTCTATCTTTGCCTTTCTTAACACAGGTTGAATCTAGAATATCTACTCTCCTAATTAGATCATCAGATGGTCGATGTTTAATGTGACCAAACCATCTAAGACAACTTTCTCTAATTTTGTCTGTCACAGGAGCTACACCAACCCTATAACGGATATATTCATTTCACATTTTGTCTCTAAGTGTAAAGCCAGCCATTCACCTAATCATTCTCATCTCGGCTACACTTAACTTATTTTTATGCTTCTCCTTTAAAGGCCAACATTCAGCATCATAGAGCATTGCAGGTCTCACCACCGTCTAAGTGGTACTTTTCTATCACACAAAAGGCCTGATGCATTCCTCCACTTCAACCAACCAACTTGAATTCTACTATTAAAATCCCCATCTATATCGCAATCGCTTTGAATAACAGACCCAAGATATCTAAATTGTTCACACCTTTTAATAATTTGATCACCCAAAGTCACACTTCTGTCACTAGAGCTACTACTACTAAAATTACATTCTATGTATTCAGTTTTAGTTCTACTTAAATGAAGGCCTTTAGACTCCAATGTAAACCTCCCTAATTCAAGTTTTTTTGGGGTTTTTTCTCTCGTTTTATCCACGAGAAGGATATCATCAACAAAAAGCATACCAACAAAAAACATACACCAAGGTACATCCTTCTGTAGATGTTCAATAAGACCATCCATAATTAAAGCAAAAAAAGATATGAGCTTAGCCAATCCTTGATGTAATCCAACAAAAATAGGAAAATATTTGGTCAATCATCCTTCAGTTCGAACACAAGTAACAACTCTAGTATACTTATCTTTAATGACTTGAATATAAGTTATATCAACATCTTTCTTCTCAAGAACTCTCCAAAGGATATCTCTTGGAACTTTATTGTAAGTTTTTTCTAAATTAATAAAAATCAAATGTAGATTCCCCTTATTATCTCTAAAATTTTCCATCAAACCTCTCAATAAATCCAAATTGATTATGGAAATCTTTGTAATACGTCTTAATTTATGTTCAATTACCCTCTCCCATAATTTTAAAATGTGACACATCAACTTTATTCCTCTATAATTTACACTCTTGTGCATCCCCTTTATTCTTAAAAATGGGGACCAAAATACTCTTCATCTACTCAGACATCTTTTTAGTTTTTCAATAATATTAAAGGGTTTAGTAAGCCAAGAAACTCCCAATTCTCCGCTTAGTAAGCCAAGAAACTCCCAAATCTCGTAAATATTTCCACACTTCAATTGGGATATCATCAGGTCCTATATACTTTCCACCCTTGGTTTTCATTAAAGCCTACTCAATTTCTTTTTTACTAATGCGACAGTAAAAATGAAACGTTTTATTATTATTCATGATTTTAAGATTATTAAGGTTGATCGTATTTTCAGAAACTTCATTAAAAAAATTATTAAAATAATTCACCTACCTATGTTAAATATTTTTTTCTAAGAAAATTACTTTTTGATTTTCATCTTTAATACACTTTACTTGAGTTAATTCTTTACTTTTCTTTTCTCTTTGTTTGACTTGTTTATACATATTTTTTCACCTTTTTTAGTATCTAATCTATTATAAATATAATTAAAAACAAGATTTTTAGCGTTACATATTGTTCTTTTACACTTCCTACGGGCCGTTTGATATTTTTCTAAGTTCTCTAAGCTTTTACATTTAAACCAATTTTTATATCATAACTTTTTATATTTTATCTTTTCTTGCACATTATTATTCCACCACCAACTATTTTTATTTATAAAAAGTTTTTCTTTTGATTCTCCAAGCACATCTTTTGCTACTTGTTTAATAGTGTTTGTTATTTTATCCTATATAACATTTACTTCTTCATGAACATCTCAAATTTTAAAATATTGAATTTTACTCATAAAAATAATTTTATTGGTGTCTCTTAGGTTTCCCCATCTAATTCTACGATGATGAGTCATAGTATTTTTTATTTTACAACTTTTCATCTTAAAATCTAGGACTAATAAACGATGTGGGCATTTAAATTCTCACTTGGAGTGACCTTACAATCTTTACAATCTAATATTTTTTTAAAGTAGATTCTTACATGGAGTACCGGTAACAGATTTTTCCTTGTACTTGATACCTAAGCACCGAAGCACCTATACGATAATGTAGGCTTCTGTAAGTTGAATACTATAAATAATATATAGCATTTTTGTTGTTTACCAATGAGGATTTTTGTTTCAGAACTCCGTGAATGCGAGATACCAAACCATCCCGTATCCATGGTTGGTATTTGGCGAAAAAGTGAAAGTAAATGCGGTCTTTATTCGTGATTCCACTGGTGTATCAGATTCTATGTTGATTCTGTTTGGCGGTGCCCTAAAAAAAGGAGAAATGGTAACATTTTCATTGTTTATTTACCAATATCACTTTATTGCTTCTGAATTGTATCCTGAAGTTTATAATGACGAAATGCGAATTCAGGCTGGACACCTAAAGATGTTGGATGGCTACATTGACTTCTTCATGGATCCAAGTTTGGCGGAATGCTATTGGAAACTCAAGGAGGAGCTTGATAAGCTTATCCAAAACAAGGTAATTCTGGCGTATGAATATCCTTTATATTTATTTAGCCTCATGTACTTGTTTCTGTGCTAGGATCTAAATGCTATTTTCTACTGCTTTGCCTAGCAAAGCGTGGCGTTGGTTCCATTGCTGATATTTGTAAGAAGGCTTGGTTAAAAATACTTGGGTTATGAGAAAAACAGTGAAACAATGAGAGGAGAAAGTGCTACACAAGAGATATGGGTGCATGTCTTTGTTTGGTGGGTTTTATTTATTTATTTATTTATTTTTAAATTTTTTGGAGAGTGGGGAGTCTCGTGCGTTGGGTTCATCCTTTAAAAGACTGGCCCCTTAATGAAAAATTACCGTTGGAGTTTAGCAACGTCCCCACCATTTCTTAAACTTTGCTTTGAATGATAAATCCATTAGCATTTTCCACCCTTGCTAGATAGCTGGTGGCAAGTAATTTAATTGTATTGATTGGAAATGCAAACCAAATTCTCGCTTATGTTTTTTTCTGAAAATGCTAGTGCAAATTTTCATGTTTTGAATATTACCAATAATATTTCATGGTGGACAAATTCTTTCTTTGTTACAGCATGGCTTTGCAAATTGTGTGCAAATGCTCATAAACTTGTAAAAAAATGGTTATAAAAACAATTTCATCTAGTTATGCATGAATATATTTAGATGAGTGATACCACTTCAAATTTTCTCTCCCAAAATCACAAAGCTCATAAGATGTTGTGTACAGCTTTTTTTCTAATAAATTGGACGATTCAAATCGGTTTTAGAGCATCTTTGGAGCAGAATTTTTAGGAGGTAGAGCATTTTATAAATATGAATGGGTTTGTTATATATGACAACTTGTATATTTTATATTTAATCTTTCAGGTTATTGTTACAGCATGTTTTCACAAAAAACTAAATAGTTACATAAAATGTGTTGCTTCTAACCTTTTACCGATTATTTGGGGTAGAAAATGGGCAGTGTTCTTTTTTGTGGACAGAGCATTATGGTCGGAAGAAAAACTATTCGTTTGAGTGGTTTCACCTGATTTTCCTTCACTTTGATTTTCTCCTTTTGGTATGTTTTGATTCTATGTCATAATGTCATCAAAGCCACTTTGATTAGGCGCTATTGTTGGACTAAGGAAGTAGGTAGCAAGCTTATAATAGCGATCATTGTTTGGATGGATTGGTTTCAAATTGGTCAAATTGATTGCAATTGAGGTTCGGAATCCAAAAAAACCGAATCAAACAAAATATTGATAAAATCGAATAAGTCAAATCGAAGTTTAATTCGATTTAAATGATTCAGTTTTAAATAAACCAAAATATAGTCTTCAATATTTTGAAATCTTTTAAGCTTTTAGAATGGAATATATATAGACATGGATATGAAATAATATTGGTTTTTGTACGAAAACTAATTTATTATCCTACAGCCACCCTGACATCATGGTCATGATAAGTCTAGTTAGTGAATTCCTGCACAAATCTTAATTGTCATATCTCTAAGTTCTCTATAGAATTCTCAAATATTTTAAATTAGTTCAGGAAAAAAAAATATACAAAAGATGTAATACCCTATAAATTGAAGGACACATATACAAATTATGCTGGATCGCTAGGGATGAAAGGTATAGTTCAGGATATTATACATTCCTAGGAGGAAAATTTTCAACTTTATATTTTAAGATACAACTTCTGGTTTCAAGATTGCGTTAGAAGTTGAGTTCAGAACCATTGCAAAAGGGATTTATGAGCTTTCATGGATCAAAATCATATTATATGATTTAAAAATTAAATGGAAAGCCTGTGAAAATATACCGCCACGAGAGGAAAATTTTTGAAATGTAGGCAGATTTATATTTCATATATGCCTGCAGAGAATTAATTGGCTGACATATTCACAAAAAGACTATGCAGCTCCACTTTAAAAAATATTTTAAGCAAGCTTTGAATGGTAGATCTCTACCGTCAAATTGTAGGGCGAACCTCTCTCTCTATTTCTCCCTCTCTTCTGCAGCGGTGCATGCTCACTCGCCAATCATAACAAAAAGCTTAAGGCGCACAGATCAAGATCAAGATCTTGAACCTTCGTTTCAAGTTCTCTTTGGCCCTCAGATTACGAAACATATGCTTCCATATAAGGCTACCCACTCCTTTAATTTTCCCTTATTTATTTATTTTTATTTTGTAATGCATCTTGGAGATTATATATGCCACCTCATTTGTACAAAGAAAGAGTAAAATAAAAATTCTCAATAAATTTTCTTCATAGTTTTATTTTCAAACTATCCTCTACAAGAAACTTAACATTTTTTTTTTAATTTTTACCAACAAATCCCATTGGCTTGTGTAGCTTGAAGACACCAGCTTGGATATCCATAAGACTGGCAAGTACTTGTTGCTTGCCATTCAAGAACTTGTCTCTGGCGACTTATGTGAAGGGAGGTTCGTGTTTGGTCGAGAAACAAAGCGAATCCAAACTCACATCCACAGTGAAGACGGCACCACCAAATTCACCAGGGGTGGCACAAATCCCAAAAGCCTTTTGCAGACATTACTCATGCGAGCAGGGCACACTCCGCCGAAGTACAAAACGAAGCATCTCAAGACTAATGAGTTCAGGGCTCTGGTGGAATTTAAAGGGATGCAATTTGTGGGTAAACCCAAGAGGAACAAGCAACTGGCAGAAAGGGATGCAGCCATTGAAGCACTCGAGTGGCTGACGCACACAACTGCCGATGATAATTATCGCAATGAAGATGATGACTCGCCTCCTGACATCACTGATAACATGCTGAAGCTGCTTAACAGCCGCCGCCGCCGCCGGCTCCGGTCAAAGCAAGGTTCAGTTTAAGTTGTGGCCATTTTATATTTGTGAAATTTATTGAGGTTTTGGTTTGGAAATAGAACTCCTGTGGGATGAAGATGGTGAGCAAAGGAATTTTTGATTATTTTTCAAAAAGATTGAAGTTGAAGTTTGCTGATGATTCAGAAGCTGAGGATTCTTCAAGCAGAGAAGATGACTGGGCGATCTATCTATGTGATCTAAACTTGTGTTTTAGCTGTCAACTTTCACATGCAATTGTGGTTGCCAATGTATTATTCTTCTGTCTGTTTACTGTTTCTTTGGTTTTTTGGATGTCGGTCCTTTAATTATGTAATATCAATAAAAAAAAAATAAAAATTTCAATTATTTTTTTGTTCATTGTAAATTGTGTTTTAAAATTCAATTATTTTTTTGTTCATTGTAAATTGTGTTTTTAATTCTACTTTGTTTTGTTTTATTTTATTTATTTATTTATTTATTTGGGTCCTTTGGTATCACTTTTAATTTTTTAATTTTAATTTTGTTTAATTTATATATTTATTTGAAATAAAATATATTTAATATGTTATGACATATTTAGTTATTTTTAAAAACACTCAACAATATTTAGATGCTTTGTTTTTTTTAAAAAAGGCAATTTATTTAAAAAAAAAGATATAAAAATATATAAAAAATGTATTAAAAAGATAAATTTTTATTGTAAAAGTAGAATAAAAAAAATAAAAATGATCATTAGGGTTTAGGGTCTAAGCATTTTGTATTTTAAAATTAATGATAATTTATAATTATATCGATATCTTGGGTGTGAACGATTTAGATATCTTGGGTCCGTTGTCCAAAGCGATGGTGATATAGATGGGGATGTTAATAGTAGAATTCAAGTTGGTTGGTTGAAGTGGAGGAATGCTTCGGGCCTTTTGTGTGATAGAAAAGTACCGCTAAGACTGAAAGGAAAATTTTATAAGATGGTGGTGAGACCTGCAATGCTCTATGGCGCTGAATGTTGGCCTTTAAAAGAGAAGCATAATAATAAGTTAAGTGTTGCCGAGATGAGAATGATTAGGTGGATGAGTGGCTTTACACTTAGAAACAAAATGCGGAATGAATATATTCATGATAGGGTTGGTGTAGCTCCTGTGACAGACAAAATTAGAGAAAGTCGCCTTAAATGGTTTGGTCATATTAAACGTCGACCATTAGATGATCCGATTAGGAGAGTAGATGTTTTAAATTCGACTTGTGTTAAGAAAGGCAGAGGTAGACCTAGGAAGAATCTTGATGCATAGTCAAATTGTAGATTATGATAAAATCGCATGTAAATAAATAGGCCAATATGAGATAACAACAACAAGAATTAGCCCTTTCTTTATACCCGATTTGAATTGTGCGAGAGAAGAACAATAAGATGGCTTCAACTTAGACAGATTGAAATTCTATATCGAAGAATTTATAGATTTCATGAATTTCATTATTTTTTAAATAAACTTTCTAATTTTAAGCGATCAAAAAACTCCTCAAAATAATCAGAAAAAGAAAAGTAATAGAAGGAAATTAATTAATGAAGCAATATAAAGACTAACTGAAGACTTGAAAGGGTTTTCAGTGCAACTTAATCTTATTAGATTTCGTGTCAATAAAATTGTTAATGATTCACAACGATTTAGAGTAGTGGAAATCTATGTTCTTTGATTTAAAGTAGCCGAACTTTCTGATTGATCATACTCATAAGCCTCTAAGGGTGTTTGCGACAGTTGTTGCTTGATAAAAAGTTGTTGCACAGTAGTTGTGCGAGGAAGCTGCTGTGCAGAAACTAACTCTCTATTTGTTTTTTACAATTTTGCAGCAGCTGTTTCTGAATAAATGACATTTTTGCCATTGTAATATAGTGTTGTTTATAAAGGAATCAATCCAGGTAGCACATTTCATACTTGAAAACAAATCTCTAGTTTGAATGTTAACAAAATAAAATTGACACCTCACAAAATAGTAACACAACAATCAAAATTAAAAATAGAACTATTAAAATAATAATATTATTTTAAAAATACAGTTAGTTAATATCACGAGATAATCCCGCTTTCAATGAAACTCTTCATGTATGATCACTATCAGTGCTGGAATCCTCGAATCGATTTGCCCACCTAAAGAAGTAATAATTCATTCTTCTATTTCTCTGACACTTGGAAAATTGTTTATCATAGTTATGTGGTTGTTGAGAAGTAAGAAAAGAGTATTTTAGTCCACAGTAGTAGCACAATGCTCTGGAGGTACCATAAGTCATCGAACTCTTCTTTTCTGAAGGTTTAAAACCACAAAACACAAACCCTTAGATGCAACATTAGTAATGAAGAAAAATAGAAATATTCATTTCAAGTTTTATGAAAATGTGAGGTCTCGGAGATCAGAGTATAAACTAATGAATCTGTTGCTACAATAAGATATTAGACCTTTAAAAAAAGGATTCTTGGTTTCTTTTAAACCATGTAATACCAAGCTCGTATGTGTCATATGTGCATTTCACCAAAAAGGTCATCCAGAAGAACCTCATAAGTTTGGTTGCCTTCATTGGATTTCGCACGTGTCAAGAACCAATAGCAACATATAGTCTGTCCAAAAGAACCCATAAGGTTGAATATCTCATCATAGACCTTCAAAAATAAAAAAAATAAAACATGCAATAAAAACTTACATTACATATTACACTTCTGGTTGTTTTACTACCTATCTAAGTGGAAGAAATACATTCAAAAGAACTGAAAATAAAAATTTCTCTACGCTGAGATTTAAAATGTACATCATTGCATACACCATCAATACAATAAATAATAAACATTTTCACAACACATTGCAAATAAAGTAACGAGAAAAAAACACACAATCACTCAATTCAATTGCCAACAATGACATATGTAATTTACTCTTGCAACTCTATCATATCCTATCATGGGTGCAAATCTTTGGTAAATCACTTTCAACCACTGATAAAGATTGACCTGCGCGATATTCATGTGTTTCAACATGGACATGTGAATGATCCCCATCTGCTTATGGAAGTTAATATCACTACGTGAATGAAGCAGCCAAGTGTAGTTGTGGTGGGTCATTGTAGCAACCACAATCTACACTTATTTGTTAAATGGATATGTTGGCATATCCCACAACACTACTCATTTTTTCTTCCAAACTCCAAATGTTCTTTTAATGACATTGTATAAAAATGAGTGTCTCTTGATAAACATCTATTTCCCATCCCTTGCAACGTTGCTAGCTCTTTCAATATTAGGAATGTCGTATTTAGCATTTAAAATTCACCCAAAATGAAGTGAATTTCTACTACACTGAAAACTAATCAAAGCCTAAAACTTAAATGCTTCAAAATTTTACTATCGTATTTTAGGAAGTTAAAAAAACCTCATCATTCAAGAATAGCTCATATTCAGATCAGTAGATAGATAGGTTGTGTTCGATTTATTGATTAAACAAATAAGCTAAATAAGTATGATTTTCTTAGCTAAATTTATATATGAGTAGAACACGAACAAATTTGATTGTGTTTGATTAATTTGATTCAAATTAATTAAATAAATAAATTTATTATATAGTGTGTTTATAAAAAAATATGAACTTTAATTATTTCTTAAATTATTACGGAACACGAATAAATTTGGTTGTGTTTGATTAATTTGATTCAAATTAATTAAAAAAATAAATTTATTATATAGTGTGTTTATAAAAAATATGAACTTTAATTATTTCTTAAATTATTAGAGCTAATTTAGAGCTGAACAATAGCTTTATATCCATTAATCATAAGAAACACAAGGCCACTTTGAGTCAAAAAAAAAAAAAAAAAAATAAAGAGGGTTAAAAGCCTTGGCTAGCTCAAATTCATTTCAACTTGAATTTCATTTTTATCAAATCAGATATCTAGATCTTCAAATTTTATGTGTTTCTTTGACTGACAGTCCCTTCCAGAATCCCAATCGGTTGTCCGATCGCATTTCCAGCAGCTCGTTGCAGCTTTAGTGTCAGAATCTAGAGTTCGCAGCCGTGAGTAGAAAAGAATCAACAGAAAAGCAGATTCACACAGCAGGAAGGAAGGTAGGTTGAATTGGAAGCTTATCTCTTCTTCTCACGACTCCTTTACTTGATCGCTTTGCGCTTCTCAAACACCATCTCGAGTCACCATTGCGAGCGAACTATGTCTCGTTTCAATCTCAGTTGATATTCATCTTTCCTTACTCTCATTAGCTCTTGCTGTGGGAAGCAAATTTGTGATTCTAAGGTTTATTCTACTCTTGAATGCGCAGATCGTCATGTTTCTTTAAGGAATTTTGGTTTATTTCCTTCATAATTTTGATTTTCAGATTTGAACGGGGGATTGATAACTTGATTTTGTGTTATATGGGCTGGTTTCTGATAACAAAACCCTAAGCTCGAGTACGAGGACTTGTGGCGCATTGGTTCCTAAAGTGTTGGGTTGAATAAAAAAGGAACCCTAACTTGAGAGCTAATTTGTTCCCATTCTGATGCCATATTATTATTTTCTAGTTTTACGTTTCTGTCTAAGTTTTACAAATATCAATTTCTGGATCTGTAAGCTGAATTTCTATAGGTTTACTCGAGATGTAGAACATGCTATTTGGAATGAAAATTTTACTGCTAATTTGATGTTAGCAACTCATATTTAGCAAGGACGCATTCCGCCATTTGTTGCTTGCAATGTACTAATTCTTGCTTGTAGACTCCTGACTTGATATGTTACGTTTAGTTGTAGATCAATAAATTTTAGAAGAATGGATTTACCGTGTTAACTGAATAGCACGAGAATTATTGTATAATATATGATAACTTTCTTTATTTTTGTTTTCTTCTAATATTAAATTTAGTAACGTGCAAATGTTTATGCATCTAACTTAGGATTTTTATATCGAGAATTTGATTTGTAACTTATAGAATATGTTGAACTGAAATTCTTGTATACACATGCGCGCACACATTACATTTATTTTATTTCAGTTCTACTGAGATTTTTCAAATTAAGCCTATAACCCCAATATGTGGACAATTTGCATAAAATTATAAGCTCCCAAATTTCAAATCATGTTAATCACAAGCATCAAATACAAGTCATGATTCAAAATGAAAAGCATTGGGCTTTCCTACATTTCGTTAAGGTTGTAAATTCTTTCAACATAACTAGAATCTGCATAAAGTTACAAGACAAAGAAATTCAATCTTAGTTCAAGCAAACACAAAAGTTGCAAGCCTTATAAACTCATACAAACGTTTCAACCACTAAGGGATCGTTTTT